CCAATTCCCATGTATGATTATCCAAAATTGATTGAATCTCACTATTGACTGCCTCTTTCCAAAATGCTGAATCAGAAGACGACATAGCTGCTTTAAAAGTTTGAGGCTCCTTTTCAAGCAAGAATGTCACAAAATCTGGTCCAAAGGACGTAGATGTTCTTTGACGTTTGCTACGCCTTGGATCTTCTATACTTGGAGTATTTTCCTTTGGTTCTTCCCGAGGTCGTTTAGGTTTTTCACTTAACGACTCGCTTTCAGTTTTATACGGATAGATGCTTTCAAAGAATTCAGCATTATCTGATTCCATTACCGTATTAACATGAATCTCGGGATTATCAGATTTATGAACCAAAAAATCAACATGCTTTACTATTTGTATCATATCCAATGAAAACGCAATCTACTGTTTTTGGTCCAATTTTAACCCTTTTAGGTAAAGGAACCTGTACCTTTGCTAGACACCCCCACACTTTAAAATATTTCAAGTTGGGTTTTCTTCCTCTCCATTTTTCATATGGAATAGATTGCGTTTTGCTGTGGGGTACTCTGTTGAGTATTCGGTTAGCTGTAAGGATAGCTTCCCCCCACAAACTCTACGGTAATCCGAAACTTATTAATAAAGAATTCATCATTTCTTTTAATGTCCGATTTTTCCTTTCCGCAATTCCGTTGGATTGAGGTGTGTAAGGTGCAGTAGTTTGATGGATAATTCCATATTCCGAACATATTTCTGCAAACGGAGATTCATATTCTCCACCTCGATCACTTCTAATCATTTTGATCTTTTTATTCAATTGATTTTCTACTTCATTCTTGTATTGCTTAAATGCTTCAATTGCTTCATCCTTACTATTAAGCAAATAAACATAACAATATCTAGTGCAATCGTCAATAAAAGTAATAAAATACTTTTTCCCACTTCCAGATGGTGTCGACTTCATATCGCAAATGTCAGTATGAATTAAGTCTAAAGGATTTGAATTCCTTTCAACAGACTTATAAGGATGTTTTACAAACTTAGATTCAACACATATTTGGCATTTCGATTTATTACACTCGAATTTAGGCAATACTTCTAAATTAATTAATTTCCGCAAGGTTTTATAATTGACATGTCCTAAACGAATATGCCATAAATCATTTGACTCCAATAAATAAGAAGAAGCTGAAATTTTATTCATACTGTCAACAACCATTATATTGAGTTTGAAAAGGCCCTCCGTGAGGTAGCCTTTTCCAACATACATTTCGTTCTTGCTTACAACAACTTTATCAGAAACAAATACACATTTGAATCCATTCTTTACTAGTAAAGAAGTAGAAACTAAATTCTTCCTAATAGTAGGAACATGAAGAACGTTGTTGAGCGTTAACACCTTGCCGGAAGTCATCTTCAGGAATATCTTCCCATAACCTTCAATCTTGGCTATTGCATTATTTTCCATGGAAATTTCTTCTTCCGGACCACCAGTAGAGTAAGTCGCAAATGCTTCTTTGACAGCACAAACATGTCGAGTGGCTCCAGAGTCAATCCACCACTCCTTTGGATTTCCAACTAAATTGCATTCTGAAAGCATTGCGCAAAGATCATCAATCTCATTATTCTTCTCCACTATGTTGGCTTGTCCCTTCTTCTTATCCTTTTTCGGGAGACGACAATCTGGACTTTTGTGATTGACTTTTCCACAATTGTAGCAGCTGCCCTTGAATTTCTTTTTGTTCTGCTCCTTAGTTTGTCGAGAAGACCTCTTCCTCTTCTTACTTTTTGGAGCAGTCTCTTCAACGATATTAGCTCCCATGATTGTTGAATTTCCACGATACTTTTTCTCGGCTGTTTTGTTGTCTTCCTCGATCTTTAGACGTATCACAAGATCTTCCAACTTCATTTCTTTGCGTTTGTGCTTCAGATAGTTCTTGAAATCTTTCCACGAAGGAGGTAATTTTTCAATCATAGAAGCTACTTGAAATGCTTCATTCACGATCATACCTTCAGCTATAAGGTCGTGAAAAATAAGTTGAAGCTCCTGAACTTGGGTTCCCACAGTTTTGCTATCTATCATTTTATAGTCTAGAACCTTGGCAACCACAAACTTCTTTAAGCATGCATCTTCTGTCTTGTACTTCTTCTCAAGTGCGTCCCATAATTCTTTCGAAGTATTCATTGCACTGTACACATTGTACAAGTCATCTTCTAAAGCACTTAAGATATAGCCTTTGCAAAGAAAATCTGTCTGCTTCCATGCCTCAACAACCATGAACTTTTCATTATCCGGCATGTCCGCAGCAGGCACTAGAGGCTCTTCACTAGTGAATTTCTGCATACCAAGTGTGGTAAGCCAGAAGAACACCCTTTGCTGCCATCCTTTGAAGTTGGTTCCAGAAAATTTTCCCGGTTTCTCAGCCGGAGGAATAGCAGTGTGGCTTGACGAGGCTATCGTCGTTGCACCAACAGTCGCAGAAGGATTTCCATTTTCATTTGCCATTTCTTACTGTCAACAACAGAAGAAATCAATTAATGGCAAAACCAAAACAGTAAATAATATTGTACTCAATAAACAGTACGTAATAAAAACAACTAAGGTTTTTATATACTGTTTTACAAAAAAACGATGAAGTTTTTATGTTCTTCAAATCGTTTTCTGAATTTCAATATCCTGATGAAGTTTTTATATCTTCAAATCAGAATAGTACAATTCAGACAGAATACAGAATATAATAAAAATAATTTCCTTAAGATTGATATATATCTGTATTGCTGTAAGTAAATAAAACCGTAATCTTTCCGAAAAATAAAACAGAAAGTTAGTAGAAACAATTCTGAAAAATAATATTCGAACTTCAAAATAATTTTTAAAACGTTGAAGGCACAAATCGAGCCCACTGAATACACAGTGTGTCCTTAAGGAAGTTATTCCCCTCAAGTACCCGAGGTTCTGGAATATATCCTCCCAGGATAGAACGATTTAACTCACCAGTGTATCGGTACCTAAAACTCTGGTGATCGGCGAACCACTCGATGGTCGTAAAACACACTGGAATATTTTGTGCAGAAGAAGAAGAAGATTCAGAAAATTTAGTAAGTAAATATTCTGGGATTTGAAGGTCTATTTATAGCCAACTTGGTGATATTTCTGAAGAGGTTTGCAACCTTTCAGAATAGTCATGACTGTTGGAACAGGTGTGACCCTCTGAAGAGGTTTGCAACCTTTCAGAACAGTCATGGCTGCTGGAACAGGTGTGACCCTCTGAAGAGGTTTGCAACCTTTCAGAATAGTCATGGCTGTTGGAATTTTTTTTTCGGGAAATTTAAAATGAATTTATATTAATCCGGGAAAGAAAAACGGGCTAAACCGGACCGGGTCGCGGGTCATCCCTCTATTTCTTTTCCCACCATTTTCCATTCACACCTCTTTTATTATTATTTATTAAATAACAAACCCAACACTTTTCCGTTAAAAGAAAGAACAATTTGACCTAGTTGCTACTGGATTACTTAGAAAAACAAAGTAACAAGTGGGTATTGACATTTTGTGAAAATGGATTGGTCTAGCATTAAATGTGGCTATATGTGTAAAGGAGAACTGTACAATAATAATTGACCCATATTCTAGACCTTTACACTCTGTTTTAATGTTTCTGAAAGGCTAATTTCATATCTGTATTATGTTTTCCATATATGACTTTTCTTTGCATTATTGCTATAATAATATAGGGAGTAATATAAATTTTCAGATAGGGAATCTTAAGCACAAATTATGGCTAGGAATATCGACTTATACACGCCAATTTTAATTTAATATGATAGATAATTTTAAAATGTTGACTTTAGGTTAATAATAATATGATCATTGTCTCAAAATACTTAGACAAAGATTGTTGCATTATCTTATTCCTTTAGTGTAGCCTGACTAATGGTGCAATCCCTATTTAGTTGTATATTTAAAGAAGAGCAAATTATAAAAAGGATTTCTTTTTCTTTTTCTTTTTCAATAACAATGATGTTCAGGTCTGCTTGTGCATACTGTAACGCTTGCTAGGCAGTAAAACTCCCTGCATATAATGATAACTTAATGGGTTCTATAATATTAAAGAACTCTGATCCAGGGTCCGATCTAGGTGCGCGGACTGAAGAGGATTCAACTGAACCCCTTTTGCCGAAAACTACAATGCGTATGTAAGGTCAATTTTTTCCCCATGTTGCATCCCTTTAGCTTTTTAGTGTGTTTACATTTTTATTTCTTGAATCCCCTTGGTGAAAATTCTGCTACCGCCGCTGCTCTGATCAATTCCTATCATTTTGAGTGTAGAGATTACTTCTCTATTTCTGAAAGAAAATACTGCAACTTCATAAAATTGATCATTTAATCTGTCTTATCTATACATCAATAAGACACTTCTATAACTAGCCATTTCTTTTCTGCAGGGTATTATATGCTAGTGAAGGGGAATCGTGGTGTAACTGGTAAAGTTGTTGCTGTGTGACCAGGAAGTCATGAGTTCAAGACGTGGAAAAAGCCTCTTGCAAAAATCAAGTTAAGACTGCGTACAATAGACCCTTGTGGTCCGGTCCTTCCCCGGACCCCGCCCATAACATAAGCTTAGTGCACCGGGCTGCCTTTAGGGTGTTATATGCTAGTGATTACATGCTTTCATATGAAATCATGTGCTAACAAGAATTAAAATATACAAGATCAACCCCATACCACTAGTTATTTATTGTTTTTAAGCCAATAATTACCAGATGAAGATTGTTGTGAAACTTGTAAGCAGCCATTTACAACACATTATCCAGCTTAACTAGGAAGCAAAGAGAAAGAAAAAGAAATTATATTATTGACTTAATGTCTTTAAATGTAATTAATTAGTAGCTTTATCAAGAAGTAGCAAAGAGAGTGAGGAAAATGGATAAGTCTCTTCATTTTATGTTGGTTTATCAAGAAGTATAAAATGAACAGATGTATACAGCAAATAAAACTAAGCTAATTGCTATACTATGTTGGTTTGATCAATAAGCCAAGCATTGTTTTTTTTAATCATTCGATATTTGAAGCACATTGTATCTGACTAATCTGGATATGCAACATTGTCCCCGAATTGAAGAAAACAAGGAGTGATCAAGAGAAGTCTCTCGAGATCAATCAGAAGTGCTACTAACTCTTTTCGACGATCAAGTAAATCACAAAAAAGTTCATATCATCCTGCACTTTAGAAATGCGTGCTTTAGCCCTTGAATAAATGGAAACAAATTAGAAACAAGAATCAGGGGATACACAGAGTTGTATTACGACACGAACCTAAGATATCATCCACACATGCATGGAAACAAAAGTGGACCACCTTGGCCATGCACGTCATGCTCTAATTCTCTGTTAGCCCTCTGTCTATTTTCAACATCAGAACCAGACCATGGACTCAACTGAGGTGGAGCAATTTGTCCATTAGCAAACAATGAATTCTGATCTCTATTAGGCAATGCCATAGCAAATTCATCAGGTCCATAGATCAAAGGACTATGGTTATGACTTCTTCTATGTCCATTAGCATTAGCTCTTCTTTCTACTGCAAGAAAATGACCAAGTGATGGAACATTACTACTGTCATTGTTCCTTATCATCATTACACTCTCAGCATCTGTGCTGTTTCTTGGACATAAAGAGAAACACCATGTTGTTTTTGACCTGTAGTTTTTTTGGACATTTGTGATTACACCATTTGTTCTTGACCTTGTTGATCTTCTTGAGAGATTATTAACTATACTGGAGACACCAATTAGACTTCCAAGTGTGGTGCTCCTATCATGGAAAAAAGATCCTGTGGACTGCAAATTCCAAACACATTTAAATAGCATAGATTAATTAGTTTAGAAACTTCAAACCAGAATTAGGAATTAACTATTACTTACTCCTAAATATTATAACATACCTAGTGTTATCCCACAAATGGGGTCTAGAGAGAGGGTGGGATGTACGCAGATCTTAACCCTACCTTGTGTTAGGTAGAAAGATTGTTTTCTTAGTTTTGTGTAATGATTATGTTCAATAAAGTCTACTTAAGATTTTAAGATTCTGAAGCAGTGGCACACTAAGTAAGGGGTGTCATCCAACAATGCTTCGTGAAAGGTTTTCCTTATATATGTGCAAAGGACAGCCCGTTGCACTAAGCTCCCGCTATGAGCAGGTCGAGGGAAGGATCGGACCACAAGGGTTTATTGCACGCAGCCTTACCGTGCATTTCCGCAAGAGGCTGTTTCCGCGGCTCGACCCCGTGACCTCCTAGTCACATGGCAGTAATTTTACCAGTTACGCCAAGGCCCCCCATTTTCTTATATATGTGCGTAAATAATATATTTTTCCTAAGAAAAAAATACATATATCCGCTATCAACGGAAACCACCAAAAAATTCTATAAGATAAATAATCAAGTACAAAGAGTAAAGTCATAAAACCATCAGTCTCACACTCAATCTCGGTTACAAGCCGAATTGTGACTATAAACCGACACTGCAACTTGCCTAATATCTTGCGTACGCCACTGTTTTGAATAAAATTAAAAGATTGGTATAGGTTTCTTTAATTAATTAGTCTAGACATAAACTTGGTCTAATGAGTACCATGATACATAAAACTTTAAAAGTTAATGTAGTAGCACTGCTGCAAGATTAGGGAAGTTCTGGATTCAAATAAGTACAAGCAGAACAATTAAGTTGAACTATTGAAGAACCTAGGACAAGAAGAAAATTAAAGTTTGAAACATGTTACACAGCATTTGATAATTGAGGTTCATAAAAAGCATCCCAAGGATTTCATGTCAATGTACTAAAGAGACACCAGTGACAGCTTTAATAATGTTATGGTCCCAACTTACATTGAACACAGAGTGACATGACATAACTCACAAAAATACTTCACAAAATGCATGAAACTATTAATGAAGGTTGAAAATATCCAGGTGCATCATATGATTTTGACACAAAACCAAGGACATTTCAATAAATAACAAGTACTCTATGTGGCTAGCTTTCCTATCTTGGCCAATCTAGTTTTGATTCTAATTTGTTTTGGTATACTTAAACTTCAACTACTCCAATTTATTATGATCTTGGTTGTTTGTATTTACATTCTTTTCACATTTTCACTTATCCTTTCTTTATTATCCCTAATAAACAACACCATATAATACTCATAAATCCACAGGAATGTCACAAAGGTTAAAGCAAGACACATGCTGTAGTTTTATTTGACAAGTTTATATTTTTCACACTGCAATTGGCAAAAGAATTTAACTTATATATCCTGAATCTTGATAGTGCAATAATTTTATTCTATCAGTGTACTTTAGCTGGTTATATATAACTTATTTGTGTTATTTTCTAAATTATCAAATTAGGGTAACTATAAACAATTATCCATTGTTGCAAGTTATTGTATAAAAAAATATTCACACTGTCAATTCATAAGTTAAACCCTCGGCAAATTGGAATACATTGGTTGGAAGGGGGTGGGTGGGAAAGAGGGCAGCCCGATGCATAGGCATCGCGCGTTCACGCAAGGTCGGCGGAAGTGTCGTACCTCAGGTGTGTGATGTAGACAGCCTACCCTAATACAAGCATGAGTGGCTGTTTCTATTGCTCGAATGTGTGACCTATAGATCACACCAAGACAACTTTACCGTTGCTCTAAGGCTTCCCTTCGTGCGGGAAAGAATGAAAATAAAATAAAAGTAGTGCATGAATGGTATGTTAAGTTGAAGTATGAACTGACCTCAGTGTCCAAATCTGATGAAGAATCTGTGGTGGAAGTAAGAGACTCACTGAGTGAAGTGTTGAATGAAGTTGAACCAGCAGAAAAATCTCTGCTCCTACCCAAACCTATTCTCATATTCAGTGGTTGCAATCCCAATGGCCACCCTTCTTCCTGCTCCATCAAATCAATCAACAATTCAAAATGAAAAAGAAAAAAAAGAATAAGTACAATAAAGAAAACTAGTAGTAGTGGGGTTTAATTTCCATCTATCAACTCAATAATCTGACCAAGAACCAAAGGACAATTTTACAATGTGATGAAAAGACTACTCTCACTTCAAATTATAAGGAAAAAAACACAACCCCTCTTCACATAATAGAAACCCCATGTGGTAAATTGCAAAATAGCGACAACAACAACAATAACAAACTCAGTGGAATCTCATAGTCTGGGGAGGTTAGTCTGTACGCAGACCTTACACCTACACTGAGAAGATAAAGAGGTTGTTTTTGATAGACAATCGGCTCAGGAAAGACGAGAAGAAACAATATAAACAACAATTGCAAAACTGTGACAACGGGACAAAACAAATACCTGTTGAGCCATGTCCAAAATAACACAGTTATATTTGATAAAGATTGAATTTTTACTACTCCTCTGAGGTAAAAAAAGGGAGAAAAATGCCAATGAGGGTCACCTTAAAACCATTGGATTAACCTGAAATAACAGACAAAAAGTGTCAAAGAATGAAAGAAAGAAACTGTCATTTCAAATAGCTGTTTCATTAAACAAACAGAAACTGTAGTAAAGAAGAAGAAGAAGGACAAACTCACAAACATGATAAGTGGTTTCTTCATATACACATAGGAAACACACTTAACACAAAGTGTAAGAACATTGTTTCATATTTCTAGCTGGAATAAGAACAAGTAGAATGGAGTCAAAAGAAATACTTAATGAACAGAGTAAAAGTTGGTTTCTTTAAATTTTTATTTTTTTCTGTTTTGCTTTTGGTTTTGTTGATTGAAAATAAGAAACATAGAATAATTGTAATATGTCGATAAAAGTGAAAAAGCAAACAAACAAAAAGACCGGAAACTGCTGCAGAGGTTGTCCTTTTTATAGTATGACATTTGCCTTTCCTAAAAGTAGCTAAAGCTTTCAATTACTTAGACTGTCATTGTCAGATGACCCCATTTTTTTCTTTTTCTTTTTTCTTTTCGTCAGCTGAACCCTTGAATTAACATACAGAGAGATGCTTTGCTTTGTATTATCCTTTTCTCGATTAAATTTATATAATATATGGATAGTTTAAAAGTTGTTTAGTTTCAGTATATTTTACTGTCAATATGGGCCGGGCCAGGTTAGCCCAACTTAGCCCACATGGGCTTTAGCAATCGACAAATTAAATTGGGTAGTCCACCATTTTGATCAGCCTTATAACGGGCAGCACACCCCAACCCTATGTGGGCCAAACTGAATAAAAATAAACACTAAAAAAATAAAAGACAAGACTGTATTTCATTCACTAAAAGTCAAAACTCAAAACAAACTATTCAAGAGAACATTCATGACGCTTATGGGATATCCAAACACATCATCTTTGTCAAACACATTTGAATATGCTTGTGACAAGTTGTCTTAACATCTTCACTTTCTCTACACCTACAATTCATATGCAATATTATTTAGTTAAATATTAAGAATTATTAAATTTTAAAAACTAATAATATTCAAATTCACATAAAAATATTACCAGTTCTAGTTTGCGAAAAGTAGTATAGCCAATTTCGAGTAGTAACAAGTGTTTGAACATTTTCATGATGGATGCAACTTTTGTACTTTGTTAAAACACGCCCACCAATGCTAGATGTTGATTCCGATGCTACAGTAGATATAGGAATACTAAGTGTATCACGCGCCATCACTGAAAGATCGGGATATTTTTTGGAATGGTCCTTCCAATACATGACAACATCCATCTCTTGAAACTTCTCAAGATCAAGCTTTGGTTCCTTAGTAAAAATCCAATTATGACTTTTCATCGCTAGAGGCAATGTACTTTTTATATTCTATATATTTTAAATAAATATTTTATTCGGCCCACGTGTCGGCCCAGCCCAGCCTCAGTCTAGCCTCATGGGCCACGGGTTTACTCGGCCCCGGCTTAAAATCTTTATTTTTAAATGAGCTCCAAAAATTTTAGTTCAACCCTACTAAATCACGTGCTGCGCTGGGCTGACCCAATGGGCCAAGCCCATATCGACGACACTAGTAGGTAGTAGCGTCTTTCCTTTCGTTCCAAGAGTAGCAGTGTTTTTCTCGTATTTCCTTATTTTAGATTCCCATTACTATCTTATGTTGCTTTTGTTTTGGTTTCTATTAATTGATGTTTTTACTGCTTCTTTAACTTTTTCACGTTTCTTTTCCTATACTGTTATGATTATGCATGTTTGTTTTGAGTCGAGGGTCTACCGGAAACAATTTTTCTATCAGAACAAGGTAGCTCTAAGATTTATGGACACACCTCCCTCCTCAGACCCTATTTATGAAATTATACTAACTTTTTTGGTGTTGCTATATTTTAACAATGTTATAATATGTTACTTGCGTTCTTTTTTAGGTACTCTTTAAGTTAATACACTATTAGGCATTTGCAGTTCGCACACACAATGAATTTAGATTTGAAAACAAATAGAGAAAACAAGAAAAAATAAATCTTAAGATGGTTCCATGGCATCCATTGATGGTGATAATAGAGAATCCAATAAAGGGTAAGAAATGATTGCAATTCTTTTTGCTTAGGTGTATACCAAATGCAACAGAGGAAGAACCAAAAAAAGTCTTCCAGTTTCATAAGGGCCTTTGCTCCTTTTTGGGCCCAATTTATTTTAGGACCCACATTATACGGTCCTTGCTTTAACTGTTCCTCCAACTTAAACAAATGTTAGAATATCACGGGTTAGTCAGTTTTCGGACTGGTCATTCAAAAATAGCCAGTATTTGTCATGTCATTGAAAAATAGCCACTATTTTGCTGCAACAGAGACCGGTCCAGCATAATATACTGGAGTTCGGTGCACCTGTGTATGAACTTCCAGCATACTATGCTGGATCGGTATACTTTGCTGGCTCCAGAATAATATACTTGAGTTCCAGTATAATATACTGGCGTTCCAGTATATTATGCTGGAGTATTTTCCGGATTTTGAACAGTATTTTCGTTTAGATTTATCTTTACTTGAAAAGTGGCTAAATTATAATGACTTTTGAAATTGTAGCTATTTTTGAATGACCACTTATAAATTTGGCTATTTTTAAATTTCTCCCTAAACAAATAGACAAGGTTTCGACGTTGAAAAAGGGGTCCATGGGCCCATTACTCCATCACCCTGCTTGGTCAAAGTAATTAATTACCTCAAAAAGTAAGAGTAAAACGGGTAAATAGTCACTTTTTGAATCGGCTATTAGATGTTTAAAATAGGGAATCTTACATAAATGTCCCAAATAACTTTCAATTTACCGACTTTTAGCCATTAATCATAGACTTATCACCTTATTTGTCACCTCATTCATGATATATATATATATATATATATATATATATATATATGGGTCTTGCTAACATACTACATGAAGGTAGTAAGTTAGCAAGGTACCTATTTTTTGCGTTACCCAAAATACCCCTTATTGCAAATAAACAATGTACACAGCTAAAAGGTTTTTTGTCTTTTTCACATCAAACTCTTTCCTCCCACCCCACCTGGCATTTCTCTTCTCTCTCGAAAAGAGGAGGAAATTGATGATTTTGCTTCACTACAAATTCTTCTCAGATTTCAATAACGCCCCCTCCCTCCATTTTTTAACTTCAGTTTCTACTTTAAATTGTATTTTTAAAATAAAATCTTTCGGCCATTAATGTTTTCTGAGATGAAAATCAAAGTTAGGAGTGATGAGTTAGAAGATCTTTTTGATGGACAAGCTACGTTCACGGCTTCTTTCATTTGTTTTCCAAATGATTTGAAGAAGAGTATAATCGCATAGGAAAGAGCATGAACAACAAATTATTCGAGGGTGAACATGAGTGATTTAAATCTCAAATTTAAATTCTAACCCATATGGGTTTGATTTGTCTTTTCAGATTTTCAATATTTAATGTTGTTCTTTGAGTGTAGTCGAAAATTTTATTGGTTTGAACCTGTGAGAAAATCAACAATTTAGCAGTGTAAAAAGCTTTGGATTGGAAAAGAAAGTTGAAACTTGAAACTGAGAGAAAGAGGAGAGGGGAGGAAGAGAGAAGAAGAACTGCATTTGGCCTTTGGTGAAAGGACAAAACAGTCCCTAACATTAACACATTTTTTATTTGCAATAAAGGGTATTTTGGGTAAAGCAAAAATGGGTACCTTGCTAACTTACTACCTTCATGTAGTATGTTATATATATATATATATATATATATATATATATATATATATATATATATATATATATATATATATATATATATATGTATAGAGAGAGAGAGAGAGATTTTTCAATGGTATGGTTAAAATTCATTGAAAATATATAGATGAGTCAATATACAAATTTTGAGAAAGATTGGAGGTGATTTGGTATCAAAATTCGTAGTTAAAATCGAGTGAAAAAAATTCTTTTGTGGCACATATATTAATCATGTATCACGCATGTATCTCACACACAGGTATACATGAATATACATGTGATACACGTCTGATACAAATACGATATATATGTGATACCCAGATGATATACAGTGTGGTACATATTTTTTTTCATGTTCATCTTCTACTTCGAATTTTCAATTCAAACCAACTCAAAACTCCACCAAATCATCCCAAAATTGGGATTCAGGCTTCTTAAGATATACCCAAACTATTCTAATAATACACACTCAAAAGAAAGCAAAATTTTGACATTTTTTTGGCTAATTGGCTAATATTGGTAATAGTTGGCTAATATTAGTAATATTTTATGAATTGACCAATTTTTGTAATAAGCTGCTTATAAATGGACATAGCTGGTAGTTTTCCTTAAAAATACTCCTTTCCGAAACATGAAAGAACTACAGCAATCGGTGCGGATTTCAAACATTCTATGAGTTAAACTCTAGCATAATATACTGGAGTTTCAAAAACCCTCAACATGTGTAATCCCAAAAATACAGTGCTAGACTTAGAGCTTTTAAAGGTTAACTTTCAGCATACTGTACTAGAGTTCGAACCTTCATAGGTTCAAATCCCACCAACAATTACTAGGGTTCAAATCTTTATATGTTCAAATCCAATAAGGATTAATAGAGTATGAATCCTTTTCACACTGTTTTACTCAAAGATATATTGATTTGAACTCCATGACAATCGAGTAGCTGCTAATGGTATGGCTCTAAATTTTATCCCTCCTCAGATGATTAATGGAAAACCTACAATTGTGTCGGAGGAAGAGGAAATTAAAGAGCAAATAGAGATGTGGAATAATGCACTAGTGATCTATACTATGGGTGAGTTACCTAGCTATACAGTTATGAGTAACTACATATCTAAGAATTGGAATGAAGTGAGCACACCAGAATTATATCTACATGATGAGGGATTCTATATTGCTAAATTTTTAGATATTCATGATAGAAATGAGATCCTATATTCAGGCTCATACACTTTGCGCAGTAGACCATTAATTCATGGACCCCTACATTTGATAGGAATTTCCTCGTACAATGCCTATTTGGGCTAAATTGCCCAACCTACCTTTGAACTGTTGGGGAGCTAAGACCTTGAGCGAAATTGCAAGTGGATTAGGGAAACTTATTTTTACAGATGAATGTACCCGGAAGTAGGTTCGCATATCTTATGCTAGGGTCCTAGTTGACATGGATGTCACTCAACCCATGCCAGAGGTGTTGGACATCACAGATCCAACAAGTAGAGTGTTTTCTCAAAATATTGAGTACAATTAGAAGCCTCTGTTTTGCAAAAAAAATATGTGAAATTTGGTCATGTCTGCCTTGTGGAACCAAAGAGGGTCAATACTCAACAGCAAGGGCAGGTACCAGAGAACTTGAACAAGAAGAATACTAAAGCAAGAGGCGAGTATAAGGGTCAGAAA